GAATAGAAAGGCCTTTTATATATGCATTGATGGTCGCACCTCATCACTGTCACAACTGAAACTTGATCACAGACTACTCCGATGATAGCTTCGTCGGGTCTCGCCAGATAAGGTCATGACAGGAAAAGAGCACAGCCGGGGATGTAAACTCAATCATGCAAATCGATGGCAAAGTTCATCGGAACGGTTCACAAGGCTAGACTAGCCCAAAAACGCAATCGAAGCAACGCTTTGATTAAACTGTATAGTCTACCTATCTGTCTTCTCTCGGTATAGACGCATTATGCAAAAGCGCCCACGATAGCCATGAGCGAAGCACCGCCGATGACGGCCAAGTACGCATTCAGCCTCTTCCTGCCATGGAGTATCTTGTAACTCTTTTCTGAAAGAAAGTCCTCTGCCAAGAGCTGCACTAGCCCGGCGAATAAAAGCAAACCGGCCGAGATGGCATTCATGAAGCCCACCATGAGCAAGCCCGTCTGGCTCATTGGGTCGTACAAGTTATGAACAATCAATCCAATGAGTTGTCCAAGCGGGGTTGTGCCTCCAAAGGCAAGAACCATGAGCCAGGGTCGCATTGAGGACCGAGGGAGCTGGATCGCGGCGATACGGCTACCGAGGGCAAGACCCTCGAATGTCTGGTGGAAGCTGATTGCGATGAGGAAAACGATGAACGTTGGGCCTGTAGCGACGGAGATGGCCATGCCAATGAAGACACTGTGGAAGAGAATGCCGCCTTCGAGGAGCAGACATTGTCGGAGCAGCCGGCTTTGCTCCTCTTCGGTGACGACTTGTGGTGCGCCTGGGGTGACCGTGATCTTGGGACGGTCGTCCGAGCTTCTACGCCTGGGCCCCTCGGCAGTCGCGGGATCGAGTTCGTCGATGTCGAGGTCGATGTCGGATGCGTCGTCGTCGAAGCTGTCGCGTTCGTTTGCGAGCCGGGAATTCGCTTTTGCCTTTGTCGGCGTGGAGCTCGGGAGAGGCGAGGCGCCGGCCATCAGCCCCTGTGTCGACTCCATATTATCGAGATTGATGTCAGACGGACGATGCGAGCCGCCTCTACGTGTGGCTAAACTGCTAGCCGCGGGCCTACCTCCACCCGATGCGCCTTCGTTGTCCTCCTCGTCCCAGTACTCGTACTCGTGCGAATGTGAATGGGAATGGCCAGCTCCACGGGTGGCCAAGTACGACTCGAGGGCCACGACAGACAAGGCGGCAATCATGGCTACCAGACCGGCCGTCTGCGGGTAGCCTTTGTTGAAGATGTCGGGAAGGCATGGGTCGGTCAGGGAGGTGAATGCTGTTGGAAGAAGATGTACGAAGGATGTCGCGAGCAGGACGCCGGTTCCGAAGTGCTGGCAGTAGAAGATGATTCTGCTCTGAGGTCGGCCTTTCGATGTTCGCCGGGGGAGGAGAGGAATGCCGCATGCTGGTGCAACGAGGTCAGCTGGTGCTCCCTAGATCTTGGCAACCTTGAGGGCCACGTTGATCGAGAATCCCAAGACACGAGCCCTCGTTTGTAGGCCCCCAAAGTCGCAATTCATGACTGCCACTGGCAAGAGCTACTCACATATGGTGCTCAATGCCAGGATCAATATCAGGGCACCGATATGTAGCGGCGTATCGTAGGACTCCTTCTTGGAAGAGCCGCATTGCGGCTTCGTCGCATTGGCGCCGGCAACGACTTCGGCACTCGTCATCGCACCGCCATGCCGTTTCGAAAGCTCCGCGAGCAAGAATTCGGTCGGTATTGAGGCCCACGAGGCGGCGTCTGTCAATCGGGAAAAAGCAAGTTAGCACGACGCGGGTGTCCCGGAGCTCGAGTTCAACACGTGGAAGCAGTCCAGCTGTCCGACGGCCACGAGCAAAAAAACGCACCTCTCGCCCAAGCTCCGGTAGCTCCTGTATCACCCATTCTGGACGGTCGTCGATGGTGATGTCCAGCTCAATCTCATGGCTAACTCTGCACGACGGGGATGCAGACGGTAGGAGGGCGGGTACTCCAAATGAACAGAGTACAAACAAAAAAGGGAGACGGAAGACGGATCGTGCCTCGTCTTCGTCCCAAGTCCAAGGTGTCCCGCCGGGTTTGGTGCTGGTTCAGGATGTGGATGCGGCCCCCAAAAAGGTGGTGGACGAGGGATGCGGGACCCGAGGGGAACGGCAGCAGCGGCCAGCAGTTCCATTGTCAGCAGCCTCCGGTCCACTGTGTCCTGATTCCCCCTATGAAAACCTGCGCATTTTAGAATTCGGGGGCGGCTTGGCCCCTGGAAATTGGGAACGACCGGGGAGCACAGGGGCAGCCGCAATCTGCACTTGGAGCGCCTTCCCTGCGCCAGCGACGCAACCCGTACGTAATCGCGTCGGGAAGCGAGGGGACCATGTCTTATCAGGAGGAAACCTTATGTCAGCAACCAGCAGGCGAGCTGCGATAAGATAAGAGCTGTCCGATGATGAAACACGCAGGGACCAGCCGCTGCGCCTCGGCTGGATGACTAATCGATATCGATATCGCGATATCGGTCGTCTATCGCAACAGCTCCAGCCCAGCTCGCCCCAGCTCCGGGATGGTGTCCGTGTGACCACCTGCCTGTCTCTGACCCGTCTCTCTCGCTTCTGTGTTGACGTCTGTGACACATCCCTCCGTCACAGCTCCCAATCTCGTCTCAACATCATCTCTGCATCTCAAGGTTTTGTCCGTGAACAGAGTGCTACACAATGGCGGGCGCACGACGACTTCAATTGGCCGGTTTGGCCCTGCTTGGTGGCGCTGCCGCCCTGCATATGCAGGACCAACAGGTACTTGCCCAGCAAGCGCCGCTGATTGCCGACGACACGCCTGTTGCTTCGACATCGCCGTCGACATCTTCATCCAAGAGACCTTTGGTCGAGACCGAGGCTCTGCAGGACACCATCTCCTCCGATAACCTCCTCGCGCGCGCAAAGGAGCTGTACGAAATCGCAAAGCTGGGAGAGGAGGAGTACAACCACCCCACGCGCGTCATTGGCAGCGATGGTACGCCATGCCCCCGCCGTCCCACGTTCCACTCTTCTCTTGCTCACGATACACAGGTCACCTCGGAACGTTGGACTACATCAACTTCAACCTCCAGAAGCTAGGCGACTACTACAAGGTCTGGAACCAGACCTTCCCCGCCGTCTCGGGCAATGTCTTCGAGTCCCGTCTTGTCATCGGTGACACGACCCCCAAGTCCGCGTCGCCCATGGCCCTGACGCCGCCGACCAAGAACAAGGAACCTGTCCACGGCGACCTGGTTCTCGTCAAGAACGAAGGCTGCGATGAGTCCGACTACCCTGCTGAGGTCGACGGCAACATTGCCTTCGTTCTCCGTGGCACGTGCCCCTTTGGCACCAAGAGCGAGAACGCCGGCAAGGCTGGTGCGGTTGCTGCCATCGTCTACAACTATGAGAGCGAGACCGTCCACGGAACGCTTGGTACTCCTTCCCCCAACCACGTCGCCACCTTCGGCTTGGGTCTTGATGATGCGCAGCCCATCATCGACAAGCTCAAGAAGGGCGACAAGGTTGACGCCATCGCCTACATTGACGCTGTCGTCAACACCATTCAGACCACCAACATCCTGGCCCAGACCACTGAGGGCGACCCTGACAACTGCGTCATGCTCGGCGGCCACAGCGACAGTGTTACCGAGGGCCCCGGCATCAACGACGACGGCTCTGGCAGTCTGACTCTGCTGGAGATTGCCACTCAACTCACAAAGTTCAGCGTCAACAACTGCGTTCGCTTTGCCTGGTGGGCCGCTGAGGAGGAGGGCCTTCTCGGCTCCGACTACTACGTCTCTGTCCTCAGCCCCGAGGAGAACCAGAAGATTCGCCTCTTCATGGACTACGACATGCTCGCCAGCCCCAACTACGCCTACCAGGTCTACAACGCCACCAACGCCGTCAACCCCACCGGCTCCGAGGAGCTCCGCGACTTGTACGTTGACTGGTACAAGGCACACAACCTTCCCTACACCTTCATTCCTTTTGATGGCCGAAGCGACTACGATGCGTTTATTCGCAATGGCATTCCCGGTGGAGGTATTGCAACAGGGGCCGAAGGCATCAAGACGAAGGAGGAGGCCAAGCAATTCGGCGGCAAGGCTGGCGACTGGTACGATCCTTGCTACCACCAGCTTTGCGATGATGTCGGCAACGTGAACTTGACTGCTTGGGAAATCAACACCAAGGTAAGATGCCCCTGACTGGTAATGGCTTTGTTCTGAGACTAACTTCTCATCAGCTGGTTGCGCACTCTGTCGCCTCGTACGCCGTTTCGTTCAAGGGCTTTCCCGAGCGTACGGATGCCGTCGTCGCCTCCGCCTATCCTAAGGAAGTCAAGTACCACGGCAGCAAGCTCTTCCAGTAGTCACTGGATAGCCCGTTCTGGTACATCACCATGCGCATCCCAATGCTCATTTGGCATGGACCTCTCGAGTTTGGATGGAAGGATTTCATCGTGGCATTTGCGTATGTTTCGTACCTCGGGCTGCGCGGTTGGTCTCAGGCTGGCCCATCGAACGTCCACGGACGTCCAATTTGGGCATGCTTTGGCGAGGATGATTTCATCGGAGGGACGGATGCCAAACACGGACTCATTGGATTATTACGATAGCCTCTGCAACATGATAGGAACCTCTCCAAGTTCATGTGGAGTCTCTTGACCGAGATAGCGATGTTTATGTACCATAGAGCAAAGCGTAATTAACTGCATTTCATGAAAGACATTGACTTGATGTCGTGTTCAGTAGCCACTTTCAACACCAAATGAATCTGCGTCAAACCGAAAAGCTTTCACCTGATTATTGCAGTAGTGATCATCACCACTCCACTCAACCAGCAGAATGAAGCCATTCATGTAAGAATCATGTTCAACCGTTACTCCAATTCAATACCAAACAAACGCCCCATAACCCATTTTTCTTTTCCAACCTTGCGAAACCTTTTCACGACGACTGATCTTGACAACTCGTGTTTCAAGAGATCCACAGCCTCCTTAACACCAACTCCAACGTCGCGTTCTTCGCCCCAAAGTCGCCCTCCAACCTCCTCAGCTCCGCAATCAAGTCCTCCTGCATCCCCTGCAACAACTCCCTTGTGGACTCGAGCGCGCCGCACTTCTCCATCTCCCTCACGATGTACTGCTTCATCTCCATCGCCATCGGGCCGGGCTGCTTGTGCTTGAGCACGCCCATGATCTCGGGGCGCGTGCGCGCGCGCTGCAGGGTGAGGATGATGGGCAGCGAGATCTTGCCCTCGTCGAGGTCCTCGGCGAAGCCCTTCTGCTTGGCGTAGGCGTCGGAGACGAGGTTCTGGTAGTCGTCGCGGATTTGGAAGAAGAGGCTTAGTTGCCGGACGAAGGGGCGTGGGTCGAGGTCGAGGACGCTGGTTTGGAACGGGTTGGTTAGCGCGTGTTGAGGGAGGGTATGGGGCTAACTGAGTGGTGCTGGGGCTTACTCGGTTCTTGTTGATTCTGCTTGGAGGAGTCTGACGCAGAGACGGAAGAGGCCGCCGGTTTCTGGGGTGTTTGGTTAGGATACCTGGGTGTGTTTTGTGGTGGCGGAGGGCGACTTACTATTGTCGATCATCTCCATGTAGTCCTCCGTCGAGGGGCAGTCGACGTGGTATTTCCAGTGCAGGTCATCTGCCTGTCCGACGAAAAGACTTTCCAACTCCTCTATTGCTTCATATTAGTTGTTGATGCTTTACAACACTCCGACGGGGCTGGACGTACCGATGAGGATAGCCGTCTTCAATGGGCTGCGCAGCTTCTGCAGCTCGGCGAGCACCATGACGAAGATGTGGTTCGCCGCGTTGATGCACTGCGCTGTTCCGAAGATCATGTGCGCCGCGGGGCTGCCTCTCCTCAGCGTAGAGTCGTCCTCGATGTCGTCCAAACTGGACGATTACAATGTCAGCGTTTTTCTGTTTTTGAATGGGAGGGTTTGTTTCCATACATTAGAGATGAGTCGTGGAGCATGCTGATGATGGTCTTGATGGTGCGCAGCGAGTCTTCGGGCACCTCGAGCCACCAGTTGAGCGCGTCGATGAAGGTGTCGCGGACGCCTTTGGAGGGGAGTGTGGCGAGGTACTTGATTGGGGCGATGACGGCCTGTTTGGTGAAAGATGAGTTAGCTAGTTGGTCTTCCGCTTTTCAGATGGATCAACTTACGTGGTCGGGAGCAGCCTCAAGTCGGGACGCGTAGGTGGTGAGTCCAGGTCCTTCCGGAAGCAGGGTGTCGATCTTCTTCTTGGACTTCTGGGAGATATCCGACATGTCCCGGACACCGTCTGCCTCGTCTTCGCATACTTCCTTCACATTGGTAATATGCTCCTCCTCATCTTCACAGCTGCAGAACGTCGTCGACGGCGGGGTCGAAATAGCCTGGTCAACCGAGCCGGGAGACGCATCCGACGAGGAGAACTCGTCCTCGACCTCAGTAGTCGGCAACGACTCCACACTCTCAGACACAACCTTCTCCTCACCGGCGCCCTCGCCGTCAGCCACATACCTGAACGCCCCGTCCACAAACTCAACCTCCGGCTGCCGCAGGTCCGCCTTGGACGGGTACCGCCTGGTATACACGCTCCACAGCTCCGAGCCGCAGACCGCGCGCTGCGCGTTCTCGACGTAGAGCTCCTGGTTCTCGGGTAGTCGGCCGCCCTCCTGCGCGCGCAGCGCGTCGAGCTGGCGGAGGTGCTCGGCCTCCAGCTCGGCCTGCTTGGCGTACAGGATGCGGAAGGCCTCGGGCTCGGAGTAGCCGCCGTGGCGCATGAGGACGGCCACGGCGTTGAAGGGGAGTTCGGAGCCTGGGGTCTCGAGGTGGCATTTGATTTCTTTGGGCCAGCTGTAGAGGTCGTTGACGACGGTGATGGCGAAGTTGGCGAGGTCGACTACCGGGCGGAGCTTGGCTTTGTCGGAGGGGGAGATACGGAGGCCCATGCCGAAGCAGACCATTTCAGCGGTGACGCTGAAAGATGTAAGTCAGTTAAATTTTCCCAATGACAGTGCCGGTGGAGGCAGAATTGCTTACTCAAGACCTGAGTTGACCTTCCGCACGGGCAAGTACTCGTCCAAAGTTCTGAGGTTGTCCGGAGCAAAGGTGGCGACATCAAGGCCCTGGCTGTAGGACGACATGATGTCCATAGCAAGTTGCTGATCCAGCATGATGAGCTCAAGTACAAGAGCAGCCTGCATCTGTTTTGGCTTGAAGTCTTTATCAGAGCCGGCCGAGCTCTGGGTCTTGCTGCCAGGTGCTGAGGCGTCTTGCAGCGCATTTTGGATATCACTGTTGACTTTCTCAATCTGTTAATAAACCCCGCGTTAGTCCACAGTATCCAAGACAACTCCTGCTCTGGGCTCAGTGTATATCTCACCTCGTCTCTCTTTGCAATGTCATAATAATCATCATTCAGAATAGTGAAATCCGCAAATCGTGTGATGGCCGGCAACCGCTCCGGAAGACAGTTCGCCATGGCCAGCGCCATTGGGTGGACCAGCCCGAGCCCTGGGATATCTGCCAGAGTCTTGGACTCGAGCTGCGTTGACATGGCGTCGTTGTAGAAAGTCTCCATCCCCTTTGACGGCTCTACGCAGATCTGGTAGTTGCCGTGCACATGAGGCCGGAATTTTGACCGCAGCCCCGACGAGGCGACGATGTCGTCGGGAACTGGTTGTGCGAAGGTAGGCATAGTGTGTTTGTGGGTGTGCGTTGAGCGCAAGACGGCGATGTGCGGCGGTTTGTGGAATATCCAAATGTAGGTCAAATCGCCGTGTAAGTCAAACAAAGTCCGATGTTGAAAAGTCCAGGTAAGGTTAATTGCCGTGTAAGTGTGGTACGATGACGCGCGCCGCTAATGCTGGGGAGGACTGGTGCTCGCGTCTTTGTGGTGTGTTTTTCTATACGTATAAGAGTTACCACCACTGGAGACGGCATGAGCTTCACGGCGATGAATGCCATTTCTTGCTATCTGAGGGTATTCTAGGTGACGATCAGATAGAAACCCTTTCGAGTCAGCATCCCCGGACCATGGCGGGGTCACGTAAGTCGCATCCCAAGGGTGTGCATCACAACGGCCTGGGTTCTTGCGGGCGCGCCCACGATTATCAAAGGCCTCACCGGATTGGACCTGAGATGTATATTAAACCAAGCAAGGGTGTTGCCTCGCGAGTCGGAGTCGCAATCCGAGGGGTACGGCTTCCCCCACTCCCCTTCGGACGTTGCGAAAACAACATACCAGACAACCCCGGCACGTAACACGCACACTGTCACGAACTGTCTAGCCCTAGCAAACGCCGCCCCGCGCCGTGTCCGCACCGTGCCCGTGCCGAGCCCGCGCCCAGGCCGAGAGGATTTTGCTCTCGATAGCGACGGCGGACATGACTCGGCGTGTAAACAACGACTCTTGCGATGCCCACTTCACTCTGCCGCGCGCGCTCGGGATGGCTGCCGCGATGCTAGCACCGTTCAAACGCCAATATGTCTCGTTATGGGGAAAATGCCGGAGTGCGCGAGGCTGCATCTCTGAATGGAAACAGGGGCACGGGAATCCTTTCCTCTTTGCCTTTTAAAGTTTGTGATCGAAAAAAGAACGGCTTCGAGATGTCAAAGCTGTGAGAGAGCCCCCTGCTGGTGGTTGATTCTCTCAAGGGTGTATGACTAGCGCGGAGATCAGCTTTTCTCCCGTCTTTCTCTGCTCTTGGCAAACAGATGCAGTTGTCGTGTTTCGTAGGATATCCGCCAACATCCCCATCCCCGGCTGCCGTCGCCAGAGGTCGTTTCCAACCGCAACACTCACTCTTCTTGTCAGTTCCTCCGAAAGTCCAACTCAATGTCGATCCTCAAGCGGCTGTATGTCGCGGGCTTCGACGCCGAAGCACTCCGCAATGACGGCTTATTGCCGTACTTGGTTGCTGCCTCTCTGATGCTCATCGCTTACATGGCGATGGGAGAGAAGGCGGCCGGCAAGGGTGGTTTCCCTATCGCGAATCCCATACGACCTTTCGAGTTCGTCACTTTGTTTCGACTCGCCGCCTTCATCAAGGCGCCCAGAAAGCACTTTGCCTCGTATGCGGAGAAGTACCATGACACGCCGTACTGGCTGAACATGGAGTTGGGGAAGGCGTTGATTGTGCCGTCTTCAATGATTAGCGAGATCCGCGTCAACCCTGTGATGAGTAGTCTTAAGGCCATCCAAGAGGTATGTTGTCAGCCTGGAAAGTCTGAACTCATATTAACTTGCATCAAGGTCCAAAATGGCTCTTTGAAGGGGTTTGAGCCGATCGGTGATGTTCTTGACCAAGACATGTTAAAGTTGGTCAAGGACCATTTGACGACCAAGAATCTGGGTATGTGAAGCATTTGACTTCGAGAAGAGAATGAATTCTTTTGAGCTTTGTCGGCTTATAGTTGAAATTCAGGTAAAATGATCCCAGCCATCTCGGAAGAAGTCTCAGACTCCCTTTCGGAGGTGTATTCAGACAGCTATGGTGAGTTTCAAACTTGTTCCGTTGGCCCAAAGTGCATTGTTGAAACTAACGTCAGCAGAATGGAAGGACTTCAAGCTTGGCGCACCCATCGTCAGCCTCGTAGCTAAAACATCTTCAAGAGTCTTTGGAGGCAAGACCTTTTGCCGCAGCGAAGAGTGGCTCGGGGCCATGGCCAAGTACACAAAGCACTTCCTCATCGCTAGTATCACGTTGCGCTTCTTCCCCACGTGGAGCAAACGCTTCGTGCAGTGGATTCTCCCCCCTTGCTGGCTGTTGAGATATGATCTTGTCCGATGCCGCCGCGTCCTCAAGCCCATCATGGATCAGCGCGCGCGCGAGGTTGAGCGGGCAAAAGAGAGCGGCCTCGAGCCGGAGTATGCTTTCGATCAGGCATTGGCTACGCTCAGCAGGAAGATTGACATGGCGACAGCCCAGATCAGTCTGGCGATGGTAGCTATACATACTACGGCGGATCTGCTTGAGAAGACACTGCTTGCTCTGTCGGAACACGAAGAGCTTATTGACCTGCTCCGTCAGGAGATTGTCTCTGTATTGAGTGTTCATGGTCTTAGCAATGCCGGACTGGCCCAGCTGGATTTGATGGACAGTGTTCTGAAGGAAGTGCAGCGGATCAATCCAGTTGCCAACTGTCTGTACTTGTCCCCTATTTCTTGAATGAGAAAACTAACATTTGTTTCAGGCTTCCTCAATCGTATTGCTGTGGAAGATTTCCGCCTCGCCAACGGGATGCTCATTCCTCAAGGCACGCTTCTTGGAGTGGGTCCTACTCACATGTGGGACAACTCCTTCTACGAGGACGGTGAGAAGTTTGACGGTCTCCGATTTCACCGCATGCGGCAAAACCCGGAGCTGAAGCAGCAATCATACTTGGTTTCCACCAGCCCCAACCAGCTCGGCTTTGGTCACGGCTCTCATGCCTGCCCTGGAAGGTTCTTCGCCGCGAATGAGGTCAAGATTATCCTGTGCCACTTCCTTCTGAAGTACGAGTGGAGGTTCCCCGTTGAAGGTCCGCATGTAGTTAATCTTGGAGTGCTGAATGCAGCAAGTCCGTGGACAAAGATTCAGATCCGCAGGAGGAAGGAGGAGATGGACATTGGGGAACTCATTGTACCTTATTAGTTAGGTATTATCTACGCTCAATAATTATGGACTTGACCTATCTCATACATACAACAAATTCGCTATTAATCGTGCATGGGCAGCCAATGAGGGCAAAAGTCTAAGAATATCAAGTCACAAAAAAATGGGAATATACTCAACAGCTTGTATTTCATATTTGCTCAATCCCGAACTGAAAACCCATTGGAGAAAAGATCATGAACTCGTCTGAGCAGCTTCAAATCTGAATCACAGCAAATCACTTTCGAAGATCTATGAGCATGTATTGAAGACTATACACTGGGGCAATGCAGCGAATAAGATAATCCATGAGTTGCTCAATGTATTGAGCTTACAGTATTCTATGCTCTTTGTTTGAGTCGAATGTTGAGTGGACCTCGATCCCACAGGAGAAAATTCTTCTGCCTGCTAAGCCAATTTTGGCCAGGCACGTCAACAAGTTCCAGATCAAACCTCCAAACCAATCTAGCAATGATAGTGCAAACTTCTGCATACGCGAGACTTTGCGCAATCTTGGTCAGTATGGTCTATCAAGACATGTATGGTACGAGGATTCAAAGGGGTAAAACATACTGTCTCCCGATACAGTCACGAGGCCCGAATGAGAAGGGCTGAAACGCTTCCCTTTTGTCGCTGAGATCGATCCTGTCATTTGACCATCGCTCAGGGATGAAAGCCTCGGGCTCAGAGAAATTCTTCGCGTTGTGGTACATGGCGTACTGCCATATCGACACAATAGTCTTTAAGAGGTTCGTGTCAGTTAACGCGAAAAGGTACTTTTTGAGTCAAGAACAGGAAAACAAAGACGTGGTGACTTACTTCTGCGGGAATGTGGTGACCCAAAATGACATCTCCCTCCTCGCCTATGCGACGCGGCATCCCTGAGGCACCTGGCGGATACAGTCTCAGGGACTCATCAACAACAGCTCGGAGATACTCAAGGCTTTTGCTGCTTGAGATAGTAATCTCTTTTTCTTCTTTGAAGGAACCACGTACTTCTTCACTCAGTCTCGCCATGACATCGACATTTGCTGCCAGAAGGTACGTGGTGCCTGCTAGAGCCGTGGCAGTCGTGTCATAACCCGCCATTGTCAAGATCTGGGCGTTTGCTTGGATATCCTGCAAACTCAAAGGTTGCTGGTAACAGCTTTGGTTAGCTTCCAGTTCAAACCTATTGGAATGAGCAGAGTACTTACTTTAGTTCCAACCCCAGACGTAGGCTCCTTCATGGCTTGAATAAGATCAGGTCGATCAGCCTCATCGAGCCGCCTTTTAACAATGTCGTTTGTGAGCCGCACCATGTTCTCATGTTTTTGAAGAACAGACTTGGGGGCCATTGCCATGAGAACGCTGAAGACGAGTTGAAACTGCTTCAAAGCGGTAGCAAGAGCAATCGCTGGCAGTGCGTCCAAGAAGAATTGAGCCCAAGGGTGGTATCTTCGTGTATGAAGACAATGAAAAGAATCGCCAAAGCCCAAATCCGTGATGATATCCAAAGCCACGAAGTCGAACAACTTGTTCATGTCGATTGGCGTTGGGGGCCCTTGTGATTGTTCATGCTCAGCCAGAATGTTGAACCTGCAACAGGGCATCGTCCGTCAGCAACTTGAGCCTCGATGTACCACTCTCAGATTACCTCTGAGGCAGAAAAGGATAAAACTCACAACTGATCGACATGAGACTTGATCAGACCTTCTTGGTCGAGCACCGCTGAGTTAGTGAAGCCGCGGCTCAGGATGCGCCGTAACTGGGTATGTCTATCCTTTGGTGCGCCGAGGATGCTGTCCTTGGCCTCGGCATAATGCACGTAATCTTTGCTGATTTCGCCTCTTGCGGTTTTCCGGCGCCCATAAATCTCTTTCCAAGCGTCTGGTGAGCAGAAGACCAGCTCGTCCGGAGCCACTCGTACAATATCGCCGTACTTTTCGTGCAGTTGCAAGATCTTCCGGTGCCCCTGACCTGTGGCACAACTAACCGCAAAGGGTATGCGCGATGCCGCCCAAAGTCTCGGCCCAGGAAACTTGCGCAGAGGATGGAGGAGCACGTTATACGAAATCCTCCACAGCGTGTACAGGACACTCTGCAGCATGTCAGATCAACCATTACTGTGCGTTTACGGGAATTTCTTCTTCACTTACAACACAAAATAGCAGCGTGAACATATCCCTTACACTATCAGACTCTAGTCCATTGGGGAGCCTAGACAAGCTCCAAAGTAGCGACGAGGCCATTTTTGGCGATAGCTTGGAGAACCACTGAGAGGAACGCACGTGGGGGATCCGACAAACACGCCAGCAAACATTCGAGGATATGAGCTTGAAGCGGGCCTTCGTTGCAGCCGATAAGAGGTTGCGGGAACATGTTCCCAAACAGTACAGCAACGAAGCTCCTCAAAATGATACCCTGCAGGCAGGGGTCTCACTGGAACTCGCGCCAGGGTTGTGTCCAGGGTACACTCCGTTGCGTTGACAGCGTCCGCCCCCCCTTTTTGCCGAAATTACGCACGCATAATCCCTGTATATACATGAAAATTTGCCCAACGCCACGTAGATATTCGTAGTACGGCAATTGACCTATTCTGATGGCTTCAATTGATCTATTTCTATTGAATCTCATTATCTGAGGGCATCGTGATGCCTCCTAAACGCCGCCGCGCGGCTCGGCAGGCGGATGATGACCCTTCTGGGCATCGTCCGTCACCCATCGCCAACGGTACGCGGAAACAACGACGTATACAACAACTGGCACAGGACGCCGCCAGAGATCCTCCTCAACGCTCTGCCTCGCCGTCGATCAGGATCGTTACGCCCGCCGAGAGGGCTCGCCGGGCTGCCGCCGCCGAAGAGGCCGCCGAGGAGGCCGCCGAGGAGGTTATCGTCGCCGAGGCTGGACCCGAGACTAATGATTTGGTGGCGGCTGAGTCTACATCGCGAAGAAAGCGTGTACTTATAGCCCCTCCGTCATCACGAAGAGCTCCAAAAGCGTCCTCTCGCCAAAAAGCAACGACAACGCAGAGGAAGCGAAAGAAGGATCCGCCGCATACGATCCGGCTCCGAAGTACTCTGCCTTCGTCGATGCCACCGTTTCGACCAGACTCGACCCCAGTTAACCCAACCCCTCGTCAAACCACTCGATTTGCGGACGATACGCCTACGGCCCCTCGCCATAGCGCTGATGATACGTTTATGTCGTTCCACGATGTATTTGAAGAGGAGGACGATATGGGTAACGAGGAACCAACTCTGCTACAAATCCAGGTTACCCGTGGCCCAGCGCTCAAGGGTAACGGTTTACCTGTTCTCGATCTAACCATCGAGAGCATCGCGTATAACAGATTCAGTATTGCTCCTGTATTAGATGCGAATAGTAGAGACTGGGAGGCAGACAGCGGCGCCCAACTTGAGGCAGAAGTGGCTCACTCGTATATTGTGAAGAAGGCCAATATCGCTGTTGTCGTTGCTTGGAGGAAGCCCACCAACGCATCTAAACCAACACCAATCTTCACTCGGGTCTATCCGTCTACTGGAGGGGTCACTTGGCCAAGTATTCCATGGGTTGATATTGTCCCCTCTCTTGAACAAGCTGAAGAGAGGGGTGAAGTCCACCTCACCGTCAAGTGGCAATACAGCGCCGTACCAATCTCTGGTGGTATAGTGACTGGCGTACGAACGCCTCGAAAAGGTGGCCGAGCAGGCGTTTCAGCCGGCATGCAAGAGGCGATCGATCGTGAGGCTAACGATCCTGCAAACGTCGAGCGTCGGAAGGAGGGTATGCACAGACAACTTCTCCGTACGCACATCTGCCCAGAGTACCAGAGATGTAAGAATAGTTCGGGCGACGAGAAGTTCAACTGGTGCTATATACTAGGCCAGAAGCACTACAAGATCAAATCTCACCATATAGAGAAGTGGGCGAAGGCTATTATGACTGGACAGGCTGGCGTTGACAATATGGAACCACCTAAAGAACTGCTTGGTGAGATTCTTCACGACCAGTTTATAGAGGATCAGAAACGCCAGGGCAAGAGAAGTAAGAATATCGTGGAGGTTGATGATAACCAGGAGACGACAGTGATGACGGAAGAGAAGGCTGAAAATGCCGCACTTCCATCATCAGGGTCAAGATCTGGCCTAACCAACGCCAACAGCAACGCCATCGTCAATATATACGGCAACGCGGGGGCGCCAGATCGTCATCTTCAATATCCTAACCCATACGTACAGCTGCCGCCGCCGGCGCCGCCGCCGCCGGCATATTGGCCATATGCGAACATCTCACAGTATTCGTTGCCAACTCTTCCGCCATTGAACCTTCCAAGCACTCGTCAACCAAGTATCGCACTCCCGATTCGTTCGTCCTCGCCAGTGGTACCGGATTCGCCTCGAAAAGCTCTAGATCAAGTGGCCAGCTTCATCAAGTGGTTTATATCCGTCCGCGGCAAGCGATATAACGTCGACGAAGGGTTCAGAAAGAAGCTACAGAAACTGCGATCAGTAGACAGTAGCTTGCGGGCAATTCGCAAGTTACCAGATATTTGGTTTACTGAACAGGGTTTTACTCAAGATCTTACCGAAGATGTCAGGAACTCGATCAAATCCTTCATAGACAACAGCGCCTACTACGGAGGGCAGTCTGACGCCCTCTCCGACGTGGTATCTCACTCTGAACTTCATTCAAACCATCGAGAGTCAGAAGGAGATGTTTATACAAGAATATACGCTGGATTGCCAGGAGGGACGGCGGCGGCGCCAGTTGAAAACTCTGCGGCGCTAGTTTCAGGCGAGTTGGGGTCATCCCGACATATCGACGCCCTAGTGCCACGTCAATCCATCGAGCAAGAGATCCGTGGTACGCCAGTTGAAGTTGGTCGACGTGGTGAGTGTATATAGAGCTGTTTACTGTC